ATCGAGCTCAAGTTGCAAGGTTGATTGACCGAATCACGTTTATTTTCCATTCATGCATTTTGCAGGTATTCTGCAAACGTCGCACATCTTTAAAACAATTCGTACATCAAAGGCTCTTGTCATCAAAAAAGCATCTTACAGTTACATCATTAGAAAATAATGAATCATAATTAAAAGTCATTAGGTATTGCTGTAACAACCAACTTAAATAACCAGTGAAATATTAGCAAATCAGCCCAGTAGTTAAAACAAACTCATTTGAATTATGTTGAAAATTATTATCCGGAACAAAGTGCGTATGATTTCGGTCAAGTAATAACATACACCATTACAAATGAAATACGAGGTTTTTACTTAGTTTCGATCCATTCGCCACTTAACAAATGAGAAGTAACCTGGGGCGAGTCTCATCTCGGGATCACTTGTGGGACCGAGTGGGTTAGGGTGCTGGAATCGCGGGTTCAAGTCCCGCTCTCACCACTAAGCTGGAGTTGTTTCTCGGTAGACCCTCCCTAGTATTTCAACTCCTCCGTCATGCTTGTAAAAGGCCAACTGGTCTGCCTTTCGTCATTTAGGATTTGTAAGCCTATTTGTTTCCTTTACTAGGTAGCGGTGCTGTTCAGTGCACATTAAACATTTAACATTGACCGTTCCACAAGCGACTCGCGCCAGATTTCTTCTTGTTCGCAAAGTGAAGGATNAAGCCTATTTGTTTCCTTTACTAGGTAGCAGTGCTGCTCAGTGCACATTCAACATTTAACATTGACCGTTCCACAAGCGACTCGCGCCAGATTTCTTCTTGTTCGCAAAGTGAAGGATGAATTAGCAAGATCCTATAAAATTTGAACTTTTTCCCGTGCCGTCTGTGCGGTATCCAATAGTGGAACTTATCTATGGAGTGTATTTTATACTAAAGTAAGCGTTTAAATTTCCTTTAAAAATATCCCTTCGATCTACCGTAAAATACCACCACTGAAAATGATTCGAAATGACGAGCAACAAAAATTATATAAAAAGACCTTATTATTGTTAAATAAATCACGAGAAAAAACATTCTAATTTACCAACTACAGAATTCAGAATCAATAAAGCATTTTATGAGTACCCACATGTTCATGTCGATACCTAAGGAAACACAAATACAGTTGTTTCCTTTTACCTTCGTTTAAAAACGAGTCCCGGCCGTTTTTGTTTTCATGGAAAGTTTTTGCAAGTTAAATTTGTTGGGAAGTTTGCTTATCGAGCGCTGAGAACTAGTTTACGCCGATTTATATGCCTCCATATTGTAGTTTACACAGTGCCCTCGTACAGCACTTGTACCACAACTAAACGAAGGCTAAACTAAAAGCAACCCTGCAGTTTGACACGAATTGCAACTTGACAATTTGAGTGACTACCAGTTCTTGTTTTGAAACTAAGGCAAATAAAGCAACTCGGAAAAAGGGCCATTGGATCAGTCTAATTCGCTTACATATAAGAAATTTACGCATGTACCCAGGGAAAAAAAGTTCCTCAAAAATACTATTTTACAAAAGTGAATCG